GCCTCTGCCAGAGGGTATGGACAGTGTCCAGCAGGCCTTGGCGTACCGCGCCTTCTCCCTCCGGCCGCCCTGGGACCAGAGCCCCCTTCTGCGGGAGACGCTGCTGTGCAGCGGCGTCCTTCCTCTGGTGCACCGCGCCTTCTCCAAGGGGGGCGTGAACGAAATCCTGCAGGAGCTGAAGAAGATGAGGTCGGACTCGAGCGCGCTCGCGAGGGACTTTGCCAAGGAGTGCCTGGACCGCATGTCTCGCGCCTCCCCGCTCGCGCTGCACGCGACGCTGCACCTCATCCGCACGGCGCGGCAGAAGCTGCAGCAGGAGGTCGTCGCGCCGGGCGCCGCCGTGCTGGGGGCGCGCGGCGTCGAGGGCTCCCTGACCGCGGCGCTGAGGCTGGAGCTGGGTTGGGCCTGTCCCCCTACCTATGGATTTTCGACGAAACATTAAGACTACCCCCAAATTTACACCAAAAAGGTCAAAACATATTCGAAAAACAGTCCCCAGACTATTTTTGGACAATTTTTGTGTTATTTGTGGGGTATTTCCCTACCTAGGCCTGCCTAGAAGGGTTCTTACTCTCTTAGCTTAAAGGGGCCGGGCAGTGGAAAGCGCCCCGGGCGGTTCCCCCAGTCCCCTGGGAGCGGTTCCCCCCAGTCCCCTGGGAGCTTTAGCTTTAGCTTTAGCTTTAGCTTTAGCTTTAGCTTAGCTTTAACTTAGCTTTAGCTTAGCTGTAGCTTAGCTTTAGCTCTTTAGCTTAGCGTTTCGCTTAGCTTTTCGCTTGGCGTTTAGCTTTAGCTTAGCTTTAGCTTAGCTTTAGCTTAGCTTTAGCTTAGCTTTAGCTTAGCTGTAGCTCAGCTTTAGCTTAGCTTTAGATAGCTTAACTTTAGCTTAACTTAAGCTTAGCTTTAGCTTAGCTTTAGCTTAGCTGTAGCTTAGCTTTAGCTTAGCTGTTGCTCAGCTTTAGCTCAGCTTTAGCTTAGCTTTAGCTTAGTTTTAGCTTAGCTTTAGCCTTTTTTTAGCTTCAGCTTAGCTTTAGCTTAGCTGTGGCTTAGCTTTAGCTTAGCTTTAGCTTAGCTTTAGCTTAGCGTTACTGTTACTACTAATGCTGCTTTCCTAGGGGTTCCAACTCCTAGGTAGGGTCGCACTGGGATAATGTTTTAAGTTTTCGTCGAAAATCCCCATGTAGGGGGACAGGCCCGACTTAAGGCTGGAGCTGCGCGCGCAGCAGCGCCTGCTCAACACGGAGGACGCCGCGAGGGGCCTCCACGCGCGGTGCCTCGGCCGCGAGGTGCGGGCGGGCGAGTGGTCCCGGCCGAGCATCGACAGTGTGATCCGGGAGGACGTCGAGCACATCGTCGACCGCGAGCCCGTGGCGTCCGAGGGCGAGACCGCCGACTTCGCCGTCATGCCGAGGGCGGAATTCTCCCTGTCGACGCACCCCCGGCTTCGGAGGTACCACCCGGACTACAACGAGGAGACGGGGCTGGACCACGACCCCCAGTGGATGGCCGCCGAGCAGCGCCGCTGGTCGCCGGACCTGTTCGCCGAGGAGCGCCTGGCGGCCATGCGGGAGCTGCTGGGCAGGGAGGACCCTGCCCGGTGCGGCCTCTCGCGCTGGACGCGCGTGGAGGGCCCGGCGCCGTGACGCGCCGCCGCGGCCCAGAGAAGACAAAGATGCATCAACGGTGGCGAAATACACCCTCCGTCCAAGCACCCTCTTCAGATGCCTCTACAGGGATGCTTTCTCACTCAGGGAAGTGCCCCGCTGGTGGAAGATAGCCTTACGAACGTCGGGAACTGTGTCAGAGCATCGTTCCTGGGGCTTCAACGCCGCGAATCCATATTTATGTTGCGTCCTGGCGACCCTGAACCGTGCGAAAAAATCGGGGCATTTTCAGACCGCGAAGCGAACTAATGGCTTCCTTCTGACAGTGTCACATCGTGCCAATACAGTCGGGGCCCTGAAGGAGGAATCCTTTTCGTTGGGGAGGGGCTCCGTGTTCCTTGATTGCTTCACAGTTTGCCTTGGGTTTTCCTTCGGATTCCGATAGGAAATCGAAGTTCAACTTGTGGATCTAAGGGGCCTCGTTCCTTATCTAGGGTTCATTGGGTCAACGCTCCGACTGTACACCCTTTCCGGGACGTGAACCATGAGAATCCTTGAAACGGCCGTAAGTTCTCAAGACGAAGGCGCGCGGCGCTAATGCGAGCACCACATGTTGATAGGTACCGCGCTCCATCCGTGAGGCGGTCGTGAACTGCTAGGACGCATGTGCGCGGCGTTGGGGCGAGAGCCACATTTTGAAATCCGCCCACCCTCCATCTTCGGGGGCGGAAAAGAGGGGGGTGATGACTAGGGGGGGGTGGATATCATGGCGGGGGCCATGATATCCACCCCTCTTCTTGTTTAATTACGGCGCCCCAGATTTCATGGCGCCTCCTCTTGTTTCATTACGTCCCTGGCCCCCCCGCTGGGCCGCGCACGTGCCGCCGGTCATGATTTGCACCCCTCCCTCTTGGACACCCCCCTCTTTGCCGCTCCCGACATCCATGAAGCCCTGTGCAGTTTGTGAGAGCCAGAGTACGCGGCGCCAGGGCGGGAACCACTCGTTGAGAACCGCTCGCTTTCCATACGTGGGACTCCCTGGGAAATGTTTACAGCAAGTGTTAGGATGCTCCAACCTGCTCTGGTCTTGATCACCAGGAAGGATTCCGAGCGCCCCCAAAAGTACCGAAACTCAAGGGTTTTCGCGTGCCGGGCCCTGGGAGACACTCGCCCGACGCTGTCTCGACACTCTTTCGACACTCTTCTGACCCTTTTCTGGGTGCTCGAAGTTGTTTCTGGGATGCGGCCCCCTCAAGCAGGGCGAGAGCGACACGAAACAGCTGTGCGCGGCGCCCTCGGGAGAGTCACCGCCTTGACAACGGAGGATTGCAAAAAAAACGAAGGATTGCAAAAAAAACGAAGGATTGCAAAACAACGAAGGTTTTTGTTGCAATCCTTCGTTTTTTTGCAATCCTTCGAAAGAGGCCCTCCCTCCACCCGTGAAGCTTTTTTGTCGCCACCTTTATAGGGCGGAGGTGCGCGGCGCGCGGGCGAGAGCCACACGCTGAACGCGGTCCTCCTCCTCCTCCTCCTCCTCCTCCTCCTCCTCCTCCTCCTCCTCCCTCCTCCCTCCTCCCTCCTCCCTCCTCCCTCCTCCTCCTCCCTCCCCCTCCTCCTCCCTCCTCCCTCCTCCTCCCCTCCTCCTCCTCCTCCTCCTCCCTCCTCCTCCTCCTCCTCCCTCCTCCCTCCTCTCTCCTCCTCCTCCTCCTCCTCCTTCCTCCTCCTCCTCCTCCTCCTCCTCCTTCTCCCTCCTCCTCCTCCTCCTTCCTCCTCCTCCTCCTCCTCCTCCTCCTCCTCCTCCTCCTCCTCCTCCTCCTCCTCCTCCCTCCTCCTCCCTCCTCCTCCTCCTCCTCCTCCTCCTCCTCCTCCTCCCCCTCGTTGAGCGTTCGCCAGCCTGCAGGACATTCGGAAGCCGGGCAAGGGATGCTAAATGCGTGGCTGCTAAAATCGACCTCCGGGAAGGTGTCTTCGTCCTCCTGGGAAGACGCCCGTGGACTGCTTCGCGTGCCGCGTCTCATTCCGGGAAGTTGTGTTTTCCTTCCAGGAGGGCCGTTTTGGCAGCCACGGTTTTAGCAGCCTTCGCCCAGCTTTTGATTGTCGCACATGTTCAGCTGCACAAGTAGTGAGGACGTCGCGGGCGAGACACCCCGCCTCGCCCGACGGACACGCCGACGGGTGCGTCAGAGAGGAGTTATCTACAAGGACAAGGGATGGAGGAGGAGAGAGGAGGAGAAGGAGGAGAAGGAGTAAGGATGGAGGAGGGATGATGGGGGAGGAGGGGGAGGGGGAGGAGGGACAAGCTAGGTGCGCGCGTCATATCTGACGTCCTACCCCTCCCTCCCATCCCTTACCATGGCGCTGATTTTCTCTATCCGCGGACTAGTGGGTGGTGGTGCGCGTGCGTGCGTGCGTGCGTGTGCGTGGTTGTGGTGGTGGGTGGTGGTGGTGGTGGTGGTGGTGTGGTGGTGGTGGTGGTGGTGGTGGTGGTGGTGGCTGGTGCTGGTGCTGGTGCTGGTGCTGGTGCTGGTGCTGGTGCTGCTGGTGCTGGTGCTGGTGCTGGTGCTGTGGTGGTGGTGGTGGTGGTGTGGTGGTGGTGGTGGCGGTGGTGGTGGTGGTGTGTGTGTGTGCGTGTGTGCGCGTGTGCTGTGGCATGGCACGGGAAATGAGGCCAGCGCTGCAGCGGGAGCACGAGTCGAAACGAGCGGAAGCGCGGAAATGAGGCCAGCGCTGCAGCGGGAGCACGATTCGGAACGAGCGGAAGCACGGAAGTGAGGCCAGCGCTGCAGCGGGAGCACGATTCGGAACGAGCGGGGCCCGGACATGAAGCCGGCGCCCTGGGCGAGAGCAGCATTTTGAAAAAAATGCAGGCGAAAACCCAACTCCCGGGAATCCTGTGTGTAAAAAAGCAGGACGCGGGGGGGGGTCGGCTACTTTCAGGCCGCCATCGGGGGAAGAGGGAGAGTAGCATTCATATTGAGTAATTGTGAAGGGAGGATTGGAGAGGGAGGAGAAAGATTGGGCGGATGAGGAAGAGGAGGGGGGAGGAGGAAGAGGAGGAGGAGGAGGAGGAGGGCCTGTCAAACAGGCCAGAGGCCTCTTGGTTGCCTCTCGGAGTTTCTCAGGATGTCTCTTGAGAGCTTCTCGTAGGCCTCTCTTGTGGGCCTCGTGGTGGTTCTGGGGGCCTCTCGAAGTTTTGGGTGCCTCGGGGAAGCCTCTTGGGGGTCTCTTGGGAGTTTCTTAGTGGCTTCTTGGAGGCATCTTGGGAGGATCTTGGGGGCCTCTGGGGCCTCCTGGGCGCCTCTGGGGGCTGTTTTGGGGCACTCTTGGGAGCCTCGGGGTCACCATGGGGCCACTTGAAAGGAGATCGGCCAAAGGAGGGGCCATAGTAGATTAGCTCAGGAGGCTAAAATGTGGTCAAAACCGTAGTAACATCAGTGATGCGAGCCTTCTGGCTGTGGCCGTCTTTGACGCTCTGACCCCTCGCCACCCCCCGACCCAGGGGGAGGAGGCCGGGGGAGGGGTAAACCCCTCCCCGAAGGGGAAGAAGGGGGGTTGGCAGGGGAAGTGCTCTAAACCACTCACGCCCACAGGGCTGGTGGGATTAGCCCCCCTTCCAGGGCCTCTTGGGTTTTTTTTGTTGCGTCTGGGGTGGGAGTCTCGTGTGAGGCATCTTAGGAGCCTTTTGGGACCTCCTGGGCACCTCTTGGGCCGTCTTTGGGCACCTTTGGGGGCCTCGGGGACCATCTTGGGCTATCGTGGAGGAGATCGATCCCAGGAGGGCCCGTAGTGAATTAGGCCCCCTCCCCAGGAGGCCAAAATGTTGTCAAAACCTTCATCAGGTAAGTATGTCTGCTCCCTCGTTGGGGCCGTCTTGAACGCTGTCACTGCTCGCGACCCCCCCGTGTAGGTCCAAGAGGGGGGGTTAGGAGGAGGGGTACGCCCCTGCCCGAAGGAGAAGGAGGAGGTTGGAGGAGGAAACGCTATAAACCACTCATGCCCTGAAGGGCTGGTGGGATCATCGTTTCCTCCTCCTCCTCCTCCTCCTCCTCCTCCTCCGCCGGCCAAAATCCGCTCCTGGGGTCCACATCTTGGCTGTCTACTAAACCGTTTCAATGTGTGACGGCCCCAGGCTCAAGGTAACCAAGACGGAGCGAAGACCCCCGGCACGATCGTGGCCGAAACCGACGGAAACCGCTGCCGACGAAAACCGATCGAAGACCGGCCGAGACCGACGGAAGCCGATCGAGGTCGATCTTGTCATTGTTTTCTTTGGTTATTGTTTGACCTTTTGGGGGTATTTTTGGGGTATGTTGTATTTTCGTCGAAAATCCCCATGTGGGGGGACACGTCCGACATAATCCTTTCTTTCATTCGCAGTCTTTTCTTTATAGCTTTTTGGGCGAGGTCCAATCTCGAGCTTCCTTCTGCACATGGTCGTATGCTCAGGGCACCCATGGCTCAGGATATTCTGGTTCAGATTGTGTCAGGCACTTGGTCCCTGCCTCTTTCGCCAGCCTTCCATCGTCGTGCTGCTGGGTGCCTGCCTTACCCCTGGCACTTTGGACGCCCGAAACGGGCACGGAAAGAATGGGTACAATGCCCAACAGCAGTTCCTGTTCATTCTGAACAGGACTCGTTGTCGGTGTCGCCGCGGCCTGTGTCCATTTGAGACAGAAGGCCGCCTGCCCAACAGCGGCCGCTGTTGGTTTGGGACAACATTTGTTGTTGGGCATTGTGCCCATTGTTTCCGTGCCCATGTCGTTCGTGCAGAAATTCGTTCCCCGCCCCATGGTTCTGATCATGCCCGCGAGTCGTGGCCCCGGTCTCGCTCCTGGTCTGCTTCGCCCTCCTACTCCTCGCCCAGATTTACCAGCCTCGAACGTATTCCTATCCCTAAGATTGACACGCCAAAAGGCGATGACAATCTTAGGGATTCGCCCTCAAAAGGCACCGAGACACGCCGCTTGACATGACGAAAGACACGCGTTCACGTAGAACCCTGGAGCCGGAAGCTGGCGTGCCGGTCCGCGGCCTCCTCC